GGAGTGCTTGTTATTTTTTAAGTTCAATACAAATATCACATGCATATCAGGACGAAAATATGCTAATTATGATATGAATATTATTTCTCCTTGTACAAGATCGACACGCGGAGCCGGATTTTAAATGTACTATTTCGAAAGATGACAGTCCGCAAAGAGACATGTCACCCTACATAACACATTATTCTGTCTTCGAGCCGGTCAGTCTTTGATCTTACCCTTAAATGTCACGTGCTTATTAGAAAACGACAAACACTTTTTAAGTCTTTTAGTTGACCCGGTCGGGCATCGAACAAAACAAACCCTCTATTTTGAAGAGAGCACGATATTCAGAGACCTTCGAGGCGGTTTGGCTATAATGCGAGGTAAACACGATGTTTCATTCAGTTACACTTAAAAGAAAGTCGAAAACCTTAGTTAGTTTAATACTAGTAATTGACATAACAATTATTGGCATAAGGTTTACTGCATCGACCGGTTTGTTACAACGGTCAATATAGATTTTGAATTTATCGGTGGGTTGTCATTTGCTTAATTTACAGAAATGTTGTTGTCATTTGCTTAATTTACAGAAATGTATACAAAGTTGCGCTTCTAACTTTGCAAACTCAAAATAGTACACCATAAAATAAACTGCACGTGTACGATTTATTTGATATGGTTAACCCAAACAACTAACGAAAAAGATTAACCATCTTTTAGCATTTTAAAATATCCATAGGTTTCACGCTCAACCTTTGTTTAGTCGTTAGTTTCAATAAGAAAATAATATATGTATAAATGAGTCTGTTTTTTAGTTCAGCAACCTATATTAAAGTATAGGACGACATAATTTCTTATAAGTAGTAGCAGGTTAATTGTCTAGTCAATATAGTTAATAACTTGCAACTAATTGCAACACAAGTTTTTTCTCCGGGAAAACATGTCTCGTTACTGACCATGCAAGAACAACATACTAAAATATACAAAAATAAATGTTACACAATAAACAAACGCCGTTCTAACATTCACACTGAAAAGCACCTACTAAAGCAGACGAAAACAATATTTATAAAATAAATATGTATATGATTGTTAAAAAAACTAGCATGTCATTTAAAAACATTATATCGTGAATGCATATCCTTATTTTTCCAATAAATTTAAAACAAGACATGAGTCAGACATGTCATTTTAATGACCGATCCATGTTTCGTACTTTACAATAATAAAAAAAATGTTTAGCCTAGTTTATCAAATATAAATCACACATTACACTTGTTTTAAATACATAGTTTCAGTTTTAAATACTATCGTCAGTGCCCGCAAACATATAAAACGTTTAAATCTTCGAATAAACCATTTCGGAGTAACAGTAAAAACACAAGGAAAGCCAATCTAACAAATATTGTATTAAGGAGTCTACATGTGAAGGGAACAATTTTCTATGTATATTATGTTTACTAGAATTATATTCATGTATATACAATTTCCAAATTAAAAGTAGAAATCAAATGTACGGAAATAAAGTCACCAATACACCGAAAACACCTATTTTTCAATGAAGAACTTTTCGTTTGTCATGTTTTATTCTTTTTACATTTTAATGTATAGTTTATTTTTGGGTTCCTTTACTATAAAAGACCTATATAATCCATATTTGGATTCACTTGATATAATATAATTTATTATATTAACCACACTGTGGTTTTCCTGCTATTTATGATGAGTTTATATCACGTGAGAATATATTTCAGTGCATTTGTTCCGTATATCTAAAAAAATCTACCTAAATAAAAATTCTACTATTTACCGATTTTTTTTTTCAACTCATTTTATTTGTGTAATTTTTCGTCTATCTACAGACCTATTCTATTATTTTTCTCTTAGCTTTTTTAGTATTTATTTGGATTAGTTTAAACATATTCTGTTTGCAAAAGTAACAAAAGGGATTTGACACAAATTATAACAACATTAGTTACGTCATCTCCTTATTTGGATCTATGGTCGCCATTAATGCCATGTATCTTGATAGCCAAGGGATCGCTTTAAGAAAATCTAGCGTTGGGCATAGTCAATAGACTCTTTATAGGGATCATTGGATTTATATATCTAAACCATTTAAAAACATTTTGAGTGGGTATCAATCTTGATTGTATGCGATATTACGTCCATGGATATTACGACATCGCGCGTGTGTAAAGGTCAACTTAGGACCCCCTTACAACTTGTGTGAATAATTTAGCTGTTTTTTTCACGAGTTTCATCTTGGTAATGTTATCCGTAGATAAGAGGTTGTAATCCTTAATTGCATTTGGAAAGAAGCCAGATCTGGGTCAAATTGTGTCACCGTCTTACTCAGTGTGTAAATGAGTGCTGGCACTGAGTAAAACGTTAAATATTTTCCAAAGATGAGAATTTCATTTTTTCAGGAAGCAGATCAGTTACTTTAATTATAATAAAAAAAATCACAATACTGCTAAATCATGTAAATAAAATTTTAGCCTTGAACTGCAAGCTTTTTTAGGTATCTGTAAGTAAGGAGATTGTTCGAGACTTATTTGGGAAAAGTATACGGAAAGTTCCTAACAGATCATTACGACTATTTGTCTGACTAGTAATTGTCTCTTTAATAATGATAAATCACATGTACTCTTCTATGCGACTGTCATGCAAGTGAGAGGTTTCGCAAGAAATAAAACCAGGTTTAATCTACAATTGTCTTCATAAGGACATGCCATTACCAAGTCAAGAATATGACGTTTGTTTTTCATTCATTTGATGCGTTTGAGCTTTGATTTTGCAGTTTGATAAAGGTCTTTCCGTTTTGAAATTTCTTTGGCGTTATGTATTTTTGTTATTTTACTTTTTGCTATAATAGAGGATAGTTTATGACTAAAGGAAGATGTCAGGTATTACACATCAATGAGATAGCCACCAAAAATAACAAAAAAACTAGAGGCTCTCAAGAGGCTGTGTCGCTCACCTGTATCTACTGTGGTTTTGGAAATCATGTTAAATAAGGTTAAAATCATAATAAATAGTATAAGATACCCCAATAATGATTTAGACCAAGTTTAGTTTAATTTGGCCCAGTAGTTAAATTAAAAGCAGGTCATCCCATCATAGTCTTACAATAGTTACTGAAGATCCCTTATCATTATTTAAATCAGTTTTCAAGTTGTGACCATTTGAATTTTTTTTTTTTACAATTTTCCCATAGACTTTTATAGTAAACCCCTATGTTTTATTTTTAACAATGGCGGCCATCTTGGTTGATAAGGGGGGTCATCGGATACATTTTCAAGAATAGGTACCCTTAGGATGATTTAGGGTTAAGTTTGGGTTAATTTGGCACAGAGGTTTCAGAGGAGTAGATAATGGTAAAAGATTACAAAAATTTACGAAAAATTGTGAAAATTTTAAAGGGCAATAACTCCTTATGGGATCAATTGACAATTTGGTCATGTTGACTTATTTGTAAATCTTACTTTGCTTAACAATGTTGCTGTTTACAGTTTATCTCTATCTATTATAATATTCAAGATAATAACCAAAAACTGCAAAATTTCCTTAAAATAACCAACTCAGGGGCAGCAATCCAAGAACGGGTTGTCTAATGAGTCTGAAAATATCAGGGCAGATAGATCGTGACCTGATGAACATTTGAACCAATGTCATATTTGCTCTAAATGCTTTAGTTTCAGAGATATAAGCCAAAAACTGCATTTTACCCCAATGATCTATTTTTAGCCATGGTGGCCATCTTTACTCGTGGGCGGGGTCATCGGATACATCGGATACAATTTTAAACTAGATACCATAAGGACGATTTAGGCCAAGTTTGGTTTTATTTGGCCCAGTAGTTTCAGAGGAGAAGATTTTTGTTAAATTTAACGGACGACGACGACGATGGACGACGGACGCCAAGTGATGCGAAAAGGGCCAGGTGAGCTAAAAACCAGGTCAACATACATTCTTTAAAATTAAACAGGTCTGGTTTTACAACATTTCAGGTGCTAAATTGCAAAAGTCTTATGAAGTTACAAATATTAGTTTAATGTTGAACACACTGAATAACCAGAAACATCTATGCCAGTTACTTTCTCAAGGAACTGTTGGATTATTTTCTGTCGGACAAACAGTTCAGGGCATATTTATAAATTTAAGAAGATTTAGTATGATTGCCAATGAAACGACTCTCCACCACAGGATTAAGTTTACCCTGTTCATCTCATATCTAACACCAAAAATTGGACCAATATAATGATTCATTCCATTTTATCACACAAAACGTTTTACCTCGCCTGCGATTAAAGTCGTAGAACGCTTGACAGAGGTATACTGATCAGACGGTGGCGACGAAGTATACTGCATTGTATGTCAGAGAAAAGAAAATATGGTCGCTGCATTACCTTGTATATCTATTCCTTATAACCACCAATCTACAAACCTAAACACATTCCTTAGATCTGCAGAGTTGTGTTGAATGCTGTAACCATTACATGTCTTCGAATCAAAATTGATTATATACATATTAAATATCAGAGTGTAGGACTACAGATTTCATTTCACCAGGTTTTTCTTGTGCTTGCTTTCATAAACGGTATTCTTTGTTATTGTTTCGTTTATGTTTTTGGTTATTTTTTATAAACACAGCATTACAGATAATCGAAATTCTAGAAAAATTATTTTATTATAAGTTTTCATAAAAAAAAAACATCACTTTATTTTCAAAAAACATTAAACGATAGACTGAGCTTATTATAAGTCATGTGACTTTAATGTCGATGATTGCTGTGTGCCATTGATATTTCATTTTCGTTTTTTCTATCTTCAAGTCAGGCCATTTCGTTTTCTCTTTTGAATTGTTTAACACTATATTAAAAAGGTAAATCCAGAAAAGCGCTCATATTCTTGCAGTTATTGGCAAACATTTTCCGACGTAAAGTCAAATGAAATATAGCTCTCTATGCTTTGATGTTTGACATGGTTGGAACATGCTTTTAAAAAACAAGAACTTAAAAGTTTAAAGTTTTATTTTATACATATAAAACATTTTTTTTTTCAACCTAAAATTGCGTTTATTGAAACACAAATAAGTATAATTGTACTGTTAAAACTTAAACAAATATAATACCCTGCCTAACAAGACTCGTCATTTCCAATAATATACTTCATAAATATAAAAACTGCGTCATTAAAATAAACTTTAGTCATTGCACCCGTACCGTAATTGACCAAGTGTTATCACCAAACAGACGAGGATGTAATTTTGACCACGTGATCCGGATGCAAGTACAAAATGGTGATTACAGAATTTCATCAGAGATTTGTGGAGATTGCATATAAGTAGCATATTTGGTAGAACTTTTATATAGAAAAAAAATGTTGTTTTTTTTTTAAAAAGAAAAAAAAAATCAGGGTTCCGCACGTACATCGTATTGGCCGTTTTTGTCTAAAGTGTTCATTACTTTAATATATTTTTTTAATAAATTCCTATTATACAGAATCAACATGAACATATTTTAAATGTTCTTTTTCAGATCAAGTTTAAAAGCACTGATTCATCTGTAAGCAATTTTAGCATTCATTACAATTAAATAACCAATATTCTAATCCGTTTTAATCTATGTAGTATGTCTTTAAAACGCAATCGTTATTTGTTTGCCAAATTTCCTATACATCTTTAGTCCTCATTTTGATCAATCAATTATCCAGCTGTGCGTTGTGGTTGTTGTTGTTGTGGTTGTTGTTGTTGTTGTTGTTGTTGTTGTTGTTGTTGCTGCTGCTGCTGCAGTAATCTGATGACTTCCTGTTGGATTCCTGTGTTAAATGGATCGTTGTAAAGCTGGCACAAAATTCCTCGCTGTCCTATGAAAACAACATTTAAAATAAATGAATTAAAGCCTCACTAAAATACACTAATTTGTTTCATCAACACAACTTAATGTGGGTCCTTCATGCATTCCGGGAAAAAAAGGGCTATACTTCTTAGAAAATCTTAAACGAATAAATAAAACGTAGTTTATCTTACATATATGTTTACTTCACGTTATACAGGGACAATGTATCAGTGTCTATATATTTTGATAATTACATGATTAGACCAACTGACACTCGGTTTATCTGCTGATTACAGATACAGCAAACCTTTCAATGCATTTAAGATAAGTGAAATGAACTTAGGCAACTACTGTAAACACCGATTTTTAAATTAGTAAATCGACTGAGATGTGAGGTGTTATTTTTTAATGAAAACAACAGTGTATGCATGATTAGCTAACTTATAAAAATTTTTGTGCATCACTTTTTCTCAAATGACTTTATTTTGTTTATTGTCGGACTCTGTTTGTATTTTTTTCTATTTTTCATCTTTGACGATTTGGATTTAGTAGTAAGTGAAATTGACAGGATACCTTTTCAATATATTAATCAATAAAGAAATGATTACCTTGAAATCCGATTCCTGTTACATTCGGCGAGCGTACATCTACCCAATATTCATTGTATTGTTTTACAACTGTGGCGCTATAAAAAAAATTAAAGATGAAAACAAAAATATTTGCATGTAGACAAATTTTATGAAAATATTAATAAGTCTATCAATAGTTGTTGTGACCTTTACCCTTAATCTGTTAACCCCAAATCATTAGGGGTGTTCATCATTCTACGGGGATTTGTCAAATAAAGTGAGGTAAAAGTTGGACACATGGTTCGAAAGATAACATTCGGAAACCAAACGTTTTCCCTAACCAAATAGCCGATTCTGACCTTTGTTTTACTGACACAAAAATAAGAGGGTTCTTCTTCATCCCATTTAGCATTATAAAATAAGTATGAAAAAAGTATTGCAGATAGATTTAGCTTTATCGTTTTAATTATTTTAAGATGTTAGTAAATCTTGTACTTCATCGATGTTTTGCTCAATCTTTTACCATTTAGTCACTTTTCTGACAGTTCAGATAACAATGATTTGCACAGGTACATGTACATAACAGATACAGAACATTCTGAAATCAAACTGAGCTGATATAAATGACTGCACGTTAAATGAATGAACACTACTCAATTGACCGCAGTGAATATGTTTGAAAATTGAATGAAAGACTTAACATTACTGACTTATTAATGCTTCAGATTTTTTAAATATGTTTCGATCACAACTATCGATTCAGTTTAAGATATATTTACTTGTGACTCTTGTTGTTCGAAATTTATACATAAACAATCGTGCAGTCTTTGAAAACTGGTTAAAATTTTACAAAATGACCGTTCAGTAAAAAATATGTTTACTTATCATTCTAATTTTAATAAATTTATCCATTAACATGTCAAAATTATTGTTCTTTTTTATATTGAAAATGAAAGTTTTTTTTCTTGATATACACGGTTAAATGGTATATGGATTTCTGCACTGCCTGACGCTTCTTGATTTAAAATATCACGATTCGAAGACACTTTCAGTAGTTTAATAAGTCATAAATCAAATGGAACAAGTAATGTTGATAATGTCGTTGAACCTTAGACTTATTCTCAGGTATCGAACCTAAAACAGTCATCTAATAGGTCTCTTCAAAGTAATTAGATGTTCACAAAATTTCGTCAATAATTCATAAAAATGTTTCGTGCACTTATATTCATTTAACGTATTTTAAATGGAATAAAATGGTTTATCAACAAAGATTGTTAATTGAACGTTGCAAAATACAATATACAAAAAGCGGTTAGTCATCAATACATACAGCAGACATATGATATCTGTTGAGAAAGATTTTATGACTACATAGAGCAATATGTCACTATCTATTACCTCTTTTTCAAATGAAAGCATTAATTATCCAAAATATCTCGGAGAACATTTACCAAATGTCAACTTATCGTCTAAAATCAATATTTATATATGTTTTGCTTAGTTTTTGGACTGCCTCATCGGGACGATCCAGTTTCACAGTCCTGGCATTTGATAAGGCCTATTACAAAACAAGTGTTTTGATTGAAATAGCTTTTAACCAAATGTCAACTTATAGTCTACAATCACTATCTATACATGTTTTGCTTAGTTTTTGAAAGTTTACCATCGGGTCGATCTAGTTTCACAGCCCTGACTTTTGATATAGGCCTATTCCAAAACAAGTGTTTTGGTCGGAATAGTTATTTACCAAATGTCATTTCATCGTCTACAATTACTATCTATACATGTTTTGCTTAGTTTTAAAAGTTTAACATCGGGACGATCGACTGCCACAGTCCTAACTTTTGATAAGGCCAATTCCAAAACGAGTGTTTTGATTGAAATAGTTATTTACCGAATATCAACTTATCGTCTACAATCACTATTTATACATGTTTTGATTAGTTTTTGAATGTTTACCATCGGCACAATAGACTGTCACAGTCCTGACATTTGTTAAGGCCTATTTCAAAAAAGTGTTTTGATTAAAATAGTTTTATAAATTTGACAAAAGTTTTACAGATTTGTAATAAACGATAAAATACTTTTGAAATTAAGAGTTGTCTTTCTTTTATTAGGACGAATCTATCAAATCATTTTACTTTCAATCTGTTTTGCTTCAAGTGCCATTAATGAGTCTGATGTAAGCGAAACGTGGAGCTGGCGTAATAAATCATAAACTCGGTATCTTGGATAGTTTTTAATATTCCAGAAACACTGGTCAGATTTGTGCCCATGTATATGTTCAATATTTCTTCTATCAGTAAAGTAGATTTCCATGTTCGTTAACAATCAAAGTATTAGCACATATAACACCTTTACAAAAGTTAGATTCGATTATTTTGCATAATCTTTATTACTTATAATCATTTATTTGATGACACTGTTTTGTTTGATTTGATCGTATTCACACTATCAATTTCTATGTCTTTTGACGGATATTAAATTTTATTAAATATAAAAGCTCTTTGGACGCATGAAATTTAAAAAAAGTGTTGTTATCATTTTTTACACAATATAAGCAGTCCCAATGTTTACTTTTTCTTATGTCTATTATTCGTACTTACACAAATTGAACATTTCCTAAATTGCAGCTTGCAGGTGGATACCAATCGAATGAAACCGTATTTTTATCTCTGTTGTTTGTGTGTGTGATTCCACCAACCCCGCCTACTGCAGATCGGCATCTCCTTGCCTGTGAGTTTTCATCTAAAGGTAAAAATGTTCCATAAGCAGGTCTGTTGATGGCTTCCAATGGAAAACCATTTCTTGTTGCTTGTACGAAAAAACCACGGAAATAATCGTTCGGTGCTGCACGAAGTGTTACTGAAAACAAAAAAGATATGAAAGTTAGAAGGAAATTAATATACGAAGGTGCAGGATCTTCATTTCTGTATTCTTTAATTTTCTTTCATTGTTCTTTATTTTTAAAATTTTTCCCTCTTTATACTCCATTCTTTTTATTTAGGACCAAATTTTGTTTTATTCTATTTTTCCTCTATTTTTATATTTTGGACCTCCCTTTTTTCAAGACCATCGTATTTTACCATTGTCATCTTGCATATTGTATCTGAGGTCCTATTACTAGTTCATGTAAAAGTACCTCTCATAAATGTAAGATTCAATTCTTAAACATGTAATTCAGACAAACTGTATACTGGGAGTTGACGAGGTCAAACAAGGACGATACAAAAGACAGAAAAAGACTTTACACTATATGCACTTGACTTTGATAAATGAATTTATTTTAAAATCTTATATTATATACCCGTCACTTTCATTTTATCAAACGCTTATCTCAGTACTCTGCACTTCTGTGTTGGCATAAATTATCAACGATGTGGTCATAATATTTACAAAACATTGAATTTTTAAAAGTGCTAAGGTTTGTCTACCCTAGGAATATATTATCTTAGCTGTATTTGGCAAAAGCTTTCGAAAATGCTCAATGCCCTTCAACTTTGTACTTAATTGGCTTTTAAACTTTTTTCATTCGAGCGACATTTTGTAGACGAAAAGTACGTCTTGCATACAAAATGTGCAGCCTAGTATCTATGATGAGTATATTTATCATTAGAAATTGGCGTTTGAATGTCATATTTTTGACTTAGTAGGAAATAAATCAAATGTCCTACTCAAATGACAGTCATTTCGAGTTCCAATGGTTCAATACATCTTAGACAAAGCCACAAAAAACCTAAACAACACAAAAAAATATGGTGTTTAAATACTGATCTTTTTCTGCAGTAAAAAAGGTCACATGCATGTTCAGCACTCCAAAATTAAGTGCAGGAGTTTATAATATTTAAAAAAAAATCATTTTTTATATTTAGGTCTGCAAAGGTTCATACAAAAGTCTTCCATTATTAATGAGTATTCAAATTACATAGAGCTAGAAAATCTCCCCGTGCATCTTGGAGTTAAGTCCCAAACAATATCAGCCGAAACTGTGTGGTTACACTTTCAAACGGATGTCCAAGTCACGAACAAGTGATAATGTAACGTTTTACACAGACCTAGATTAATACAAAGTATAATGTATTTAAAATCTTCAAACAGATGGGACCTCCTTGTGTATTTTAACATTTCAAAAACAAAACCTCCCCATCTTTGATGCATCCACTAACAACTAGAGACAATGAATCATAACGTTACAATATTGGTTATATACCAAAGTTATAACATATCATATTTCTTTTCTCCCTGACATTTTACAATGTACGATATAGGTAATTAACATATGTCTTCTTTATATCTTATACCAAACACAGAACTGTCACCAAATATACCGTAAACCTCGAATATAAAGATGTTTGTTCACTTTATAGATACACACCTACATGCTCATAATTGTCAAATTAATTGCCGAAGAAAATAATTAAAAGTGATGTATTCTCTTTCAATATACTCGCAAATGTCTTCAGGAAAATTTGTTAACAAATAAGGTATTTTATTGTTCTTGGATTATTGCATTTTATGAAAGGCAATTGCATTGAATTGTCATAATTGTATGTATAAAATGGAGGTACAATTGGCCATAATTGTATAACAAGTTAAACGAGGGTTCTGCTTCTAAGCGTATATGAACACGAACACATATTGTACGTGTATATTTAGGCATAATGACAAGAAATAATGTCTTCTGAATGGAAGGTTAACGAGATATAAGATATAAAACATTAATTTCTTGAAGATTGATTTGAGGAAAGGAAAATGTCGATCTTTTAAAATGGGAGAAGTTACTTATGTTTTGAATAAAATTAATATAAATATATATGCGGTCAGGTAATTTTTATCGATTTTAAAACATGACCAAGTAAGCTAGGAAACATAGGAAGAGTCATTACATGCAGAAATAGGTTATGTTTGAATGAAACCGAGTGATTTTAGTAATACTGGTTTTAAAAAAACACATTATGATCTGGAATGAAAAAGAAATCTAATAAGGGGTAGCAATGATAAATGTTTTAGGGGGACTATTTATGTGAAAACCGAACTACTATTAATTATAGCATATTTGGTATAACTATAGTGTATATATGTTGTATATAGTGTTACATTTATTTATGCCATAGTTACGTCGGTAACAGAGATACCAAAGGCATAATCAAACTCGCTATTCGAAAACGAACTTACAATGTCATGGCAAACCAAAAACTAAAGACTGATCAACACAAATTCTACCAACGACCGGAAATAATCTCATGTACTCCAAAAAAGATATAATTGCATGTGAACGCAATGATTAGATCCTAATCTAAATCAATTGCCATGAGTACTGTTGAAAATGTGCTGCCTCCTACATCCTCTAAGTATAAATTGAAAAAGAGATAGTGAGCGAAGAATGACATATATCTCTTTCAATTCTATATTTTTATCTGATCTGAATACAGAGATATAAAACATTAAAAGGAGGCGGATGATACCAGAAGGAGATGTTAAAACTCATATTTAATTCGAAGAGAAACCGAAAAACATCATGGCAAAAACGAAAACCGACGAAATGACAAACAAAATACCACTTAAAAAGCTACACACTGAGCAATGCTTATTCTCTAAAATCATGAGTTCCTCCAAAGATTGGAATAACTATAGTAGATGTTAATTAGTTAACATCTAGATGGAAAAATAACCTATTACCAAACCAATAAACAATAATATGAATATCTGTTTTAGTATACTTCTTATATATATGTTAAGAAATAGCAAAACAATGTTGACGAATTTTTCCTTACACATTAATATAGAAAACAGAAACTAGTCACCGTACCTCTAATTCTGGATCCACGTGTACCACTATATTGAGTCCCAATGGTTTCCAAAGAATACCCACTAGTTGCCATTGACAGTGGATAATAAATTCCAATATGCGTTGCATTTATTCGCGTTTGATGAATAGGTGTTGGATCTCCACAAGCATTTAGAGGTGCACCGCTTGGATATCCACTTACAATTGTCAATACATAACACAAAAAACTAGTTGCAATTAAATTTGGCAAAGTGAATTTGGATTTCATATTCAAATGATATTCCGCAGTTATTATTTGTTATGGACGTTAGGTCTTTGAGGTAAGTCAAAGGTAACAGTCCTTGTTTTGATGGCTTGTCATCGGATTGTCTTATTTCAGCATGATTGATGTATTGGTGAAATAAGACAATCAGATGACAAGCTATCAAAACAAAGACTGTTACCTTTGACTTACCTGAAAGACCTAACGTCCATAACATGGTTATTATTAATGCAACCACGTGAACTTACATTCCATTCTCCATGCATGAATACACATATAAAAATATATAACATAAAATTTTGTCATAATCTGATTTATATTCAAAAATTGTCATGTCAGTGGGCAGAATTATTTCCCTTTTTCTCTGGTAATAGTTTGTCGAGTAATTGATTAGGTTGGTTATCATTGTTGCATACATTTTTGTGGGAATTAATTTTAGCTCTTACATATAGGGGCTAGTTGTCATTCGAATTCATTAACATGTGACATACAACAGATATCAGGATTGCCCATCGGTAAACAACGGTTGCCTCTAATTTGTCATGTGAACTAAAGTTAACTGTTCATATCATTATTATTAAACGGTTCCAATGTTATTAAACCAGATAAACGTTTCGATAATTAATATCTTTTACGTGTTGCTCGAGGTCAACTTACATTAAAATCCAAAACAAAATAGAAACGTTGACGTCCTCATATAACAGAAAAACACCAAAAGTTTATCCAAACCTAGACATTAATCACATCTATGCAAAATGGAACTACACGATTATTATTATTATTATTATTATTATTATTATTATTATTATTATTATAACCATCATCCTTAAACTCTTCATGCACGGAACACATGCAGAAATTTATAACATAGAATTTGCCATGATTCCAACGATATTTTAAAATATCATGGTTGTTTCCCTTTCCATGTAATAGTTCGTTGTCAATTGCTAATAATGCTATCATAAGGTTACAACGAAATATTTTTTTACATAGGCCACAATGGAACTGTTTTGGGTTCTGTGTTTTCACTATTAAAAAATCCGTTGAAAAACTAATGTTCTGAATTTTCAACACTTTTTGGTGAGTAAAACTGCAAAACACATATGGTTCCGCAGATGTTTTAATAGAAACATGGCATATTTAAGGATACTGTATGGTTCCGGAAATTTTGAAATAGTATGAATGAAGAACTTTTCATGTGCAAAATTTTGCTCATTATAGAGACTTTCCTCCAAAGTACTCGCTATTTATTCACCAATAGCCAACATTTATTTTTTCACTTTTTCAATTGTTTTCCAGACTAACAGGGCAGTAGAAAATAAATGTACTTCTAGCTTTTATCTTGGATGGCGCTCGTCATCTTTTTCACCTCCTCTTAACCATAACCGTATATAGTTTTGTAATAAAATTGAGAATGGAAATGGGGAATGTGTCAAAGAGACAACAACCCGACCAAAGATCAGAAAACTGCCCATGGCAACCAATGAGTCTTCAACACAGCGAGAAAATCCCGCACCCGGAAGTAGGCTTCAGCTGGCCCCTAAATAAAAATATGTACTAGTTCAGAGAAAATGGACGTCACACTAAACTCCGAAACATATTGATGAACCAAAATTAAAAAAAAAAAAACATACAAGACTAACAAAGGCCAGAGGATCCTGACTTGGGACAGGCGCAAAAATGCGGCGGGGTTAAACATGTTTTGAAAGATCTCAACCCTTCCCTTATACCCCTAGCCAATGTAGAATAAACAAACACATAGCAATACGCATAGTACTTAGATTCGGGGGATTCGTTTTCAGCCATTAATGTGTA